TAACAGAAAACACATGAAGACCTGCAGTGTACACTTCAAGAAATCCAGAAGAGAAACCAGCACTTAGAAGACATGCACAAGAAAGTAGAACAGATAAATACAGATATGAACAAGGCAAAGCTAATAGAGGAGGCAACATTTAAAGAACTGAAAGACAAGCTTGAAGAAAAACAAGCACAATTAGAAGACGTGGAGAAAAGTTGCAAGAAACTTGCAACCTCCCCCCAACTTTCAATTTCCTCCATCATCTCCTAATCCTCTGTTCCCTTTTGAGAACACAGGGTTGGGAGATGGGGGGGAACAATAAACACAATGGGCCACATTTTACATGTGTCAGATCAATGTCTTCATTCAACAATAGCTGCATGTGTGTTTGTGTGTGTGCATAATATACATGCTTAACTTGTTGGATCCAAATCCCAGAAGGAATTACATAAAACAAGAAGACAATTTGAAGACAAACTTACCAGCAAGCTGAACTCCAGCCTTCCGGTCTTGGTTAATGTAAGTAATTCAGTGATAATCCAGACTCAGGCTTCCATTTAACAAAAGACAAAAACTATTATGAACTACATAATATTGTTCACAGTTTGTGAACAAACTATCTTTTTGTTTATATAATGATGATGAGTTTCTATAGTCTTTGGATTTACAGGAAAGCTTTAGAACAAATGGTCAAAACATGATATAATTGTAAATGCATAGGTGCTATTATTAAGGAAGCACATTCATGTACCCTGTGCTAAAGTGGTTCTGTGCGTGTTATCATATGTGTTGCCAGAGAGGTTCCTGCACCTTGAAACATCTTTTTCTAGAGCTTTCTGTCAGTCTTACTGTGTAGTTCTATACTCAACTTTCCCAAAGAGGCTCCAGTGTGTGGGAGAGCAGGATGAGTAATGTGTCTGTGTACCTAACCTGCTGTAGGGCATTCAAAAACCTGCCAGTAAATCTCTCTTCAACACTTTCTCCCACACACACACCTGACCTTCAGATTTCACAGGGTTGACACAGTGTTTCCTGCAGTTCAGCTTTTACAGATATTTCTTAGCTATCATGACAGCAGGACTCCATACCACTCAACATTCAAACCTACTGCCATATTTTTATTCTATACTCTTTTACAAAACATTTATCTGGCCTTTTCATCAGGTGAGAAAAAGGTTTGGGTGATATTGGACCGATCGTTGATAGAGTGAGTTGTCTACCAATTGGAAGGTCAGTGATTTGAGCCCTGAGTCATCTACTTGTCTACCAAGGCATCCTCAGATAAAATACTGAATCCTGATTTACCCCTGAAGCATCAACCACAGCATGACTGTGTGTGTGTTAGAAAGTGCTTAGGCGTAGATAAAAGGGGCGTGTGTGTGTGTGTGTGTGTGTGTGTGTGTGTGTGTGTGTGTGTGTGTGTGTGTGTTTGGGTTGAGGAAACCACTTTGCATGCTTAACTGTGTAGAAAGGCTCTATGAAAGTACCAGTCCGTTTACCAGAGTTGAATAATAGGGAAAACACAAGTGTTACTAACAGAGATGGGCAGTAGCGTGTTGCTGTAATCCGATTACTTTTTTCAATTAACGAGCAAAGTAAGGGATTACTATAGCAAAAAAGGTAATTAGATTACTGTTACTTTCCCGTGAGCACGCTGCGTTACTGTGTTACTAAAACCGTGATTTTTTTGCAAGAGTGTCTCATGACAATGACGAGCGAGTGCTACGTTCGTGGCATCAGCTGTGTGCAGATCAACAATGGATAATATATCAAGTGCGGGAGAGAGTATGAGCATGCAGCATTTAAAGTGTGGAAGTACTGACCTTACTTTGACTTTGATTCCGGAAAAAGTGACAAAAACATTAGCGTCTGCTGTTCGAAGAAAACTTCTTTTTACAGCGAAAAATAAACCCCTAAACTTCCGCACAAGCACTGAGTACGCTGCCATGGGAATGTGAAATTCACAGAGAAACTCACGGATTCTTCCACTGACATGACAGCTGCGACACACCTGCACCAGGGCAAACCTCCGCCTGCCCCACTCCTGCTATACAGGTGAAAATAGAGCAACAGGACCGCTGAGTCTTTGATTTTATTTATTTTCTGCTGTGTTTTACTTGCATCTATTTGAAAGAGTGAGTGTAAACACAAAAAACTATTTTATTTTATGTGCTGGAATGTGCAGAAAATAGGTTTAAATGTTAAACAAATTTCTTCCAGTCAGAGAATGTTGCATATAATTTAATTTTTGCTTGATGCATAAAGTTAAAAGATTAAAACTAATAAAACAAGTTTTAAAAAGAGACTTTTCCATTTGATTACATTTTGTATGATGGATTATGCAGAAAAAGATTGGGCTAAAATGTTTTTAAAAAGTAACTAAGTAACTAATTACTTTAAAAAATAAGTAATCAGTAAAGTAACAGGATTACTTTTGGGGTGAAGTAATCAGTAATTAGTTACTGATTACTTTTTTAAAGTAACTTGACCAACACTGGTTACTAATAACCTTACCAGTGACCTTATTCTGTCTTCCAGTAAGCCACTGTGAAGGTGAATCACAGCTCATTTGTATTCCCTTGCTTTTTTACTTATTTTTGATTATTATTGTTGATTTGCTTCGATTCACCAAGAAAAAAGTCTGCAGAGGATGGTGAAGTGCAGGGACACCCGTCAGGTGAGTGCCTGGAGGTGGCAGGGGAGCGTTCTGATCAGTGGCAGGTAGAGTTGAGAGTTCTGCTCACCCAGGGTAAGTACTGACCCAAATGACAAATGAGATAAGACTAGTATTTTAAAAAATAAATGACAGTCAATGTTCTTCTTTCTATTAGTAGTTTGGGACTGAAGTAAGGGATTGAAGAGGATGTTTGGGACACTGGCTGTTTTAATATTTTAAACAGACTTTTAGTGTTTTTCAGGATTTGTGCAGATTGTGTCTACTAGAATTTTATTTTTATAGTTATATTTTAATTTCTGTTGCCCCCTGGCCATGACTGTTTTTATTCCTTGTTTTATTATAAATAGACAACATTGTAATATGGAAAACTAGGGTGACACTAGGGGGGACAAGAGATTATTTTAGGGTGGCACATCCCATCATATGCCCCTACAGTAGATGCAGTAGATGCGCCCCTGTTTTGGCTAATAAGAGTTAAAACTTTGTCCCTCCAGCAAATCCATTCTGGCACGTTTCAATCTGCCGGCGGGACACAGTGGACTCTGCTGTGATTGGAGGTCAGGGTACTTGCCGCAGCGTCCAATCCGGCGTCAGTTTTTCTAGAGCCAGAAGTGACGTCTTTTCCGTTCCTAGAACTTCCGCCTTGCACGTGTGTTTACAAGAAATGCGGCACCTTTAGGTTAAAAAAAGCTTGAAGAGCTAGCTCAGTGTAACCGTGTGTGTGTCGGCTAAAATATGGGAAAGTTAAATGTTGTGATATTGAGATATTTATCCCGAGATGACTTCCGAGTCCTTACTGCGGTAAGTACAAAGCTAACTGCTAATTCGGTCCCAGTTGGTTAGCCTGTGCTAAGCCAGCGCTTGGTCAGCTGGTTATTGCTCATTAATGAACTTTTACACATGCCACTGTTACAGCAGCATGCGAGATGTTAATGTAGTTGTAATGAAGGCGAGCACACATACACAGGCATTCATAGTTCATGTTAGGTAAACGGAACATCGTTTCACTGTACTCCTGTGGTTTAGTGACTGATGGTGGATTCGCAAGACGCATATTTAAAACAATTAATTTCAAAATATGAGTGTCAGTGGTAGAAATATTCTGAGTTTGGGATCTGTCATTAGTAACAAACAAACCACTGGCGACATTGGTTGCCAAGCATACGTACTTGTCCTGTGCACACTAGCTCTGAAGAGTCGCTTGATCTGCATATGTATTAATCCTTGCTTTATCTACCTCATATCTGTAATGTGAAATTGCTGCTGCAGCACTTCAGTTGCCCTATAGGGATTTGTCTGCCATTGAGGCTAATATGTTCCTTGTGATATGTGTTAGACCATTAAAGCAGCTTTCTTCTAAAGTTAGTGTTTGTTTTCAGTCTTTTAGGCACAAAATTAGGGTCCTGGGTTTTGCTGCATGCCCTCCTTCATTGATCTATGGATTATCGTGACCTATGATATCTGCAGATGATATTATGAACTCTGTAGTGAAAGTAGGGAGCAGGTGGAAGAGTCTGGAGAGGTAGCAAAAGAGGTAGCAAAATGGTGGGAACAGCTCTCCAGGTTAAGGGAAAGGGGAGGTTTACAGTAAGACCTGCTATAATGTATGATTTGGAGATAGTGGCACTAAAAACAGACAGGAAGCTGAGCTGGAGGTGGCATACCTGAAGAGACTAATATTGTTGTTGGGAGTGACCAGGAAGGACAGGATTAGAAACATCTAATCATTACATCAAAGGGACAGCTCAGGCTGAGCAGTTTGGAGACTAAGGTGGTGAGGCAAACTTGATACATGTGCAGAGGGCTAATAGATGTATTGAGCGAAGGATGTTGAATATGGAGTGGCCAGCCAGGAGGTAAAGAAGATGACCACAGAGTATGGATCTAGTGAAGGAGGACAAGCAAAGATTGGTGAGTCAATGGAGGATGCTAGGAATAGGGTGAGATGGAGGCATATGATCTGTTGTGGTAACCCCTGAAGGAAGTAACTGGAAGAAGAATTTAACATGGGAATTTTAAGGACATAGAAGGAATGAGCAAAGGCTGTTTTTCCTGAAATATACATTACAACGCAGATAAGCTTGTAATTTAATCTGTCAGCTCACTGGTGATGATAATTTTGATGACAATGATGATAATTTTTCACGCAGGTTGAGATGGGGATGAAAAACCATGAGATTGTTCCAGTAAGTCTTCTGTCTTCCATTGCAAGCCTCAAGCACGGTGGCTGCAACAAGATCCTCAGAGAGCTTGTGAAACACAAGCTCGTGGTCTATGAGCGCACCAAGAGTAAGAAAACTTACAAAAACACTAGCTTTGTCTCACAAGTTATGATGTAAGTGATTAGCTTTCTAACATGATGGCGTGTGTTGATCTCAGCTGTCCAGGGTTACAAGTTGAATTATGGAGGATATGACTACTTGGCCTTAAAGACTTTGTGCGCCAGAGAAATAATCATTTCTGTTGGCAACCAAATGGGTGTTGGCAAAGAGTCGGGTAAGTGTTGTGTTTTGTTTTTTAAATTTATAATCATAATGTGTTTTCTTTCAGGTTTTCAGGCTTTTACCGTCAATCTTTTATGTGCTCATGTTTATATAAATATTTCTTTCTTTCTGTTCACCTTGCATGTAGATATATATATTGTGGCGAGTCCAAGCGGAGAGCAGTATGCTCTGAAGCTGCACAGGTTGGGGCGTACATCTTTCAGGAATCTGAAGAACAAGAGAGATTACCACAAACACAGGAAGAACATGTCCTGGCTCTATCTCTCCCGCCTCTCTGCCATGAAGGAGTTTGCCTACATGAAGGTAATGAACCAAATGAGTGAGAGTCTGTTCTGGACCACTTACAAGTGTGATAGAAAAAACTGTTTTGTTGGAGGATTTTAATGTCTGTCTCCTCTTTAATCCCAGGCATTGTACGATCGAGGCTTTCCAGTTCCCAAACCTGTGGATTATAACAGACATGCTGTAGTGATGGAGCTCATCAATGGATATCCGCTGTATGTTAACAAGCCATTGATTTCCTCTTTTTATTTGTATATTAAAATAGAAATAACGTACTGTTCCTACTGGGGGGGGGTTTCTTCCATAATTTGTGTGCATTGTCTCACTCTACTAGGTGTCAGGTTCATGAATTACAGGATCCATCAGCCTTGTACAGTGAGTTCATGGACCTCATAGTCAAACTGGCCAATCATGGCCTGATTCATGGAGATTTTAACGAGTTCAACCTCATGTTGGATGACCAGGACCACATAACAATGATTGACTTCCCTCAGATGGTGTCTACATCACACCCCAATGCTGAATGGTGGGTTTATTTGCTCGAGTTTTAAAGTTGGCAGTTAAAAGTATCAAAGCATACAACTTATAATTGTCTACTTTTACAACTCCTTTTTGTAGGTACTTTGATCGAGACGTCAAATGTATCCGCGACTTCTTTGCAAAGCGATTCAATTATGAAAGCGAGCTCTTTCCAACTTTCAAAGACATCAGGTAACTGCTTGTACTTTATTTTAGTCAAAACTAGGGATGGGTATCGTTTAGGTTTTATCCAATACTGGTGCCAAACCGGTACTTTTGAAACGGTGTTTAAACGGTGCTCAAACCGGTGCTTAAAGAATGGAGAACACAAAATTGGTCCAAAAACCTCTCATGTTCAGCTGTTTTTTTGTAAAAAGATAACAATGTTAGCCTTTTCTGCAGCTATGGTGGCATATATGGTATCACTCTTGGCTGGAAGCAGTGCTTAAACAATGGAAAAAACACAAACTTTCAAAACCTCTCATGTAATTTTCCACTTTTTCTTTGGTCATTTTAGCCTTTTTGGCCAGGGTGAAGGGAGTATCTGCCATCAAACAAGAAGACAGCCGCATGTAGCTATGATGATGTTTGCTAGTTCACCTTACATGCATTAATGTAATAACGTGGTTAGCCTACTCAACGTAAATTACACACGAACAACATTAAGCTACTCACGCAGAGAAGAACGGCTGCTGCTGCATCATCATCCGTCATCATTTCTGCTACACTGGCAGGGCTAGGGGCCAGGACTCTCCTCTTCGGGTTTTTGGGGGATGTTGCTAACTCCGGGTCCGATAACAGGCACCACACCCGCAGTAGATGTGCTCGGTGTGAGGTCTCGCAGCAAGCTATCAAATACGGCGCATTTCTCGGCTTTTTAAAAAAACGCTATGCGTCGCCAGGTGTTTCATCGGATTCGAGGTGTTACCTCCTTTGACAGTATCACAGTATCAGCTTAAAGCACTTGTTGCAGGCTGCTGAGTTTGCATATTTTGCTGTGAAGTACAGCCAGACTTTTGACCGCTTCGCCTTGGGCATTTTTAATCTGTAGCTCTGCTCTAAAAGAACGTACGTACCTGGACCCGCCTACTATCCTCGGAAACGTAAAATGATTGGCTAGAATCTAAAGTGTATCACAGCTCAGGAAAAAAAAGCACTGAAATAAAGCACCGAAATGTGCGCTGCTTTTCGGTCTGGTTACTACCGTTTATGTCAGATACCGGTACCCATCCCTAGTCAAAACATAACAAACATGTATGAATACAGGGAACTGAATTACATTTTAAATGGTAAATGTGGAGGCCGGACTCTGAACTGAAAAGCAGTTCTAACATGATCTCCTGTTTCTTTCCAAAGGCGGTCATATTCTCTAGATGTTGAAGTCTCAGCCAGTGGCTTTACGAAAGACATGGAGCGAGATGGTGCATTGCTACACCCAGCTGGACCTGAGGACGATGAGGAGGAGGAGGAGGAGGAGAACGACGACGACGGTGACAATGATGACGAGGATGCCAAAGAGGCAACAGATGAGGAAAGAGAGGAGGCTGTGGACATGGATGAATATAAACATGCAATGCTGGAACTGGAGGGATTACGAATCAGCGAAACACCTGCAGAGACACAAGATCAGGACGGTGAAAAGAGTAAGAACAAGGTTCAAGAGGATCAAGAGACTGAGACTGCATCTTCGCCTCCAGGTGATGAAGAAACAGAGAAGCAGTTAGATGAAGAGTTGGAGGAAGCAGAGGATGAGTTCCCAGAGCTGGCAGACCTTTCTGCCTCCAACAAGGAGTTTAAACCTTTCAGGTAAAAGCAGTGGATAGCCAACACAATAAAACCCCCAAAATGAAGATTATTCTTTGATGATTATGTGCCACTATTAGATAAATGGTACTGCAGGAAAACGGCATATGGGAAATATAAGACAACTGCTGATGAACTGCTTAGCTCATCTGTGTGGTATGTCCTTTTATGTGACCATTTGTGTTTTGTAATGTTCAAATAAGTCTGCAGCTGGCTAATAAAGCCCCAATCATAGCAGTCTAAAGACCAGTCACAGACCTTCTGGCAACCACTGGTTAGTAAATTTTGTTGTACCTGACAGGTTGACAAGTAGTTGTGGGGGTTGCTGGTAATCTAAAATCAGTTGCTAAACCCTATTGACTCAGGGCTAGAGACTTGTCTGTGATCCTCTGGCAGCTGCCACTTGCAAGGGAAAAGGGTGTTTTCTGCAATCGGTCGGCAAATGTTTGCTGGCACTCACTAGTGTGAAATCGGTTGTAAAGAGGTATAGTACTGCACTGAAACCTTCATGTTATTGCTTTGGTCACTGCTACATTTACAAGTACTTTAGACAAAAGATGCCAACTACGGTAGTGAAACTATGTAAGACTAATGGAACATTTTCCTTTTGAAACGTGTTGGTGGTAACAGTAATCTGCATCGTAAACCTTGAAGCTGTGCATTCGTTTTTGGTTTGTCCCATGCTTTTTCAAGTTTCAGTACAGCTCAGAGTAAATGGTGAGTGTTTGAGGACAAGTCTGTGTCTTCCATGCAAACTACAGGCAACTGCAGCAACCTGCTAGCGATCAGAGCAGTTAAAAGGTTTCTTTCTGGTGCAGCAAAGCAGCCTAATGACAGGCAACAACCACTCTGCAACCTGTCAGAGAATATACGTTTTTCCCTAGTAACCAAAGCAGTCTCTTATCCCGTGGATCTGAGGCTTTAATAGGATTGTTTGGCAAAGTATTATTGAGACAAGCCAGAAATATTTTTTTCTGAATTGTTAGTGAATTATAGAGACAATGAATCAAAATTTATGCTAATTTGTGTCAAATTAAGCTGGTTTAATGAAGTATGTACATTACAGTACATTTATGTGCTTTGCTATGATGTAATTTTTATCTCCCTGCAGAGATGCAGATAGTCTTCTACAAATTGTAGAGCACAGGAGGAAAAGGACAGACAGTGAGGCCACGATGGGAAGCACAGGGAGCTGCTCTACCATACCACCAGTAAGTATAACATAGATTTACACTGTTGATATATCTGGTTGACAGGGACACTCTCCTAATCTACCCAGTAACCAGAAACATGGTGACAGATTTGATGTCTTCATTATTTGGAAGTTTCAGCCAACACTGCAGCAGACACATTATACAGTTTTGAGGAAAATCTTGAAATGTCCCGTAGGTGTTGCTAAAGAGCTTCAGTTTGTAAGAAGGTGAATTAACACAGAAACAACATGCCAGCACAGTGTTGTGTCTGGCTTTCAGAGACAGGAGGTGAGTATATTCATCTGTTATGACCTGTTGTTGTTATCGTGTGTCCTGCAGGAGGTAATCCGTCAGAAGGTGCGGAGGCAGCTCACCAAACAGCAGAAGGCGGCGCAGAGGAGACGTCTACAGAAGGGTGAGGCCAACTTGGAAACCAAATCCAGGAGGGAAAACCAAAATAACATCAAGTCTAGCATGGAGACCAGCGAATTCTGGGGATAAAGAGAACAGCATTGATGAAATTCATCAATCAATACACCCTTTTTTCTTTTTTTTTTCTTTCTTTTTTTTTGGCTTTTTGAATTTTTTTTGTCTGAAGTTGTAAACACAATTAATAAATACTGTGTATTTATTCAAAAACTCAGCTTATTTGAATCATCACAGAGAAATCAAAGTGGAGGTCACATAAAGTGAAAACTGTTTTGGATGCTGTTCTCATAAAATCTCTTGGTTTTCTTTTTAAACTTAAGTAAAATTTTGTTGCTTGCATACACAAATATGGACTGCTTAATATAGCAAAACAGTATGATTAAACTATGGAAGTGTGTTTCTTATTAAATAAAGGCACTTGTTTTCACAAAACACTTATTTATCACTGTGTTAGTGCTTCATTTTGTGTGTGTGTGCTGATACCTACACGAGCTCTACAACAGATTGAACAATGTTAATTAGCTTCCTGTTACAGAGTCAAAGGTTCATGCTCAGTCTGGATGTGCTGCTTACAAAGTGACTAACGTGGACAGGGATTTAAAATTCAAATGGTGCACATTCACAGAGAGCACACACCAACGCATTAATCATGAAAGAGTGACGGAAATGGATGGGCTACATATTGAGGCAGTCCGAAGGAAGAAAACGAAACATGTTTTTCTTCAAATTCAGTTAATTTATGCGTAGGAGGCTTTCAGAGAGCGTCTGAATTCACACATGAACAATGGCCTTTCATAGTGAACAGAGTGAGTGAAGCTCAGTGGGCCCAAATTTGCGTGTGAAGTCAAAAATATCCCACCCCCCACATATCCAAAAAAGGCCTGGGTAAAAATTTTCGCTGTAATCCTGAGAACGGGCATTTTTTTTTTTTTTTAAGCTGGACCTCTTCACATAATTTCCTCTTATGTTTTTTTTTTTTCATTATAAAAAATTGTGGTTTCAACTTGGCTGCTAGGTCGAGTTTAAACCGTCCGACTGTGCTCAAGGATTAGGCAGCTGCACAGCCCCAGAGGAGGGGCTCAGCATTCCAGCTCTGCACCTCTGTGTGTGTGCATGTACAAGAGGACCGAGGGGCCCTCTGAGCTAATTGGCAGAGAGGGTGACAAAGGTGGTCTGCTTCAAAAGAGAAGCCCTGGCGAGATGGTCAAACAGACGAGGAGGAGGGGGATTTGGGGAGGTGGAGAAAGGGGAGTGGAGGTTCCTTCTAATTTTGAGCCATGGTGACGGTGGTGGCTACTCAGTTATTACTCTACTTAGCTACTCAGAGTCAGACGTGCTGTTTTGGTGGATCATTTTAATAAGAGAATGGTCTGAAGGTGTTTGAGGCAGCAGGAACTAAATGCTGAGAGAAGATGAGTGACGTGAAAGTGGAGGAGAGCATCATGTCGTACTTATCACAAACTGAGACTGGCGCCGGCCCCAAAGACTGTGAGTAGGCAAGAAACTTTGTGACAAACCTACAGGTTAGTTTTTACAGCAAAGAAGATATTAGAGCACAGCTACAAGTCTTACTGCTTAACAGTGGTTTTTACCACTAGCAAGGCAATAATGCGTCACATTAAAAGAAAGTCAGGGGAGTGTTTCATTGTTTTACTTTGTAACATTTCCTCTAAAGCTCAAATAAATGCGAGTTAAGTTCTCCCTGTTGCCATAAATGGCCCTAAAGTGACTTTCCTGCCACGAAGTAAAGGACTCTGGGAACTTTTAAACCCATTTCTGGGTCAAAGTGAGCACAAAAGTGTTCGGAAATACTAATATTGTCAAGTGGTGAGGTGCTTCCCTTCAGTTCCAGAGTCTACTTAAATATAAGCTGTCTGGGTATGCAGATAAACACAGATGTCTGATTTCTATTTTTAAGTCAAAATTTCTGCTCAGCAAGTGTGATGACACAGGAGAGTTAGCAGAATGATATAAGGGAACCCCAGATAGATGAATAACATCTCCTTGATACAAACGCAAGAATTCCTAACAGTGGCCTTTCACAAACATTTTCAATCTTCGTGCTGACATGCATGTATGTGCAGTAAACGTGGTGGCCATTCTTCATAACTTCTGGGAGCAGAAGCAGCTGAATGGTTCCTCCAGTGACTCGGATGGTTTTGGTGGGAAGGGAGCTGGCCAGACAGAGAGCCTGCTGTTGTACGAATCTGCACCTTCTCCTGGTCCTCCGTACGTCTGCTATGTCACGCTTCCTGGAGGAAGCTGTTTTGGTAACTATAAGGTGTGTTTGACATCAACAGTGCTCTAACGACACTTTCATCTAATGTGCTTATATGAATAAACAGCTGTTATCCTTAAAGCCCTACAGGAAATATACCACTACATGCTAAAGGTTGAGTACATAAATAACAGAATTAGAGCAAGTAATAGTAATAACAGTATTAACTTATGCTACATTATCACTTGTTTCACTTTTTAATAATATTACAAAATTGCTTTGCACCAGCACAATTCAACAAAATTACCAGCAAATAAAAGCCATAGCAAGCTTTTAAACAAAATGTTATTCTTTTGGTTTTATAGAAGTGTTATAGAATCAAATTTCACATTTTCACACTGACTTTAAAAGTCGTTTTAAAATTATGTTGTTCAGTTTAAATCTCATGATGCTTCTCAATGGGCTCATTGTGATCCAGACAGCAGCCCCCAGCTCAGAGGCAGCATATGATTGGGTATCTGTGAATTCCTAATCTCAATAGTGATGTGAGTTCAGATCCCATGATTAGCTGCAGTCAAGTGCAAAATTATCAAAAAAATACAAGACTGGGTGCCCATTTATGGACATGTGGACGCAGCCTGAGGCCCACACACTCCTTTTGACGCACTTTGCTGGTTTTCTGCTCATACTCAGGTGTGTGAAACTCAAGCAGAAGCTCGGAGGGACGCGGCTCGTGTGGCTCTGATGAATTCACTTGTGAATGAGTTGCCATGTCGACGCATTGACCCTGAGTTCATCGCTCATAGTTTGCGTCAGGCGGCCAGAGACAGTGCTGTATGTGTAAGCTAGTTCAAACACACATTATTACAACTTGTATGTCTCAGTATTAACAGGCTTTGTGATGCGTTTAAAGGTTTCTGTAGAAGATGCATGTGATTCGGGTACCAGTATAGGAACCTACAGTTTGCTGCTTCACTCCTACATTGGAAGGAGCATGCTGGAGTTCCAGGTAAAGGACAAAGAAACACTCATTTCTTTTGCTTTACATAAATATGGCTTCATGACTAGATAGACTGAAAGATCCCAAGCATTACACTTACAATGTAAAGTGCCACTTTGCACTATAAATAGAGTGTTTATAATAACACCCACAATTTAAGTATCAACCGTTTATTATAAGGCAAACATAAAAAAAAAAAAAAAAAGGCCACCCACAGGGTGGCAATTCTGCCCTTCCTTGGAATCGTTTACCCCTCTGTTCTGCTCTTACATATCTCTCAGACCCTGGCAGAGACATGTGTTATTAAACACCTAATATTTCTACCTTTTGTATAAATAAGCACATGCCTGCAGACAGAGGGGTTATTAGTAGAAGGAAATGGGGTCATTATCATTCCTGCTAAAACTCAACTCATAGAGATGGATTGTGTCCAAGTAATACACACACTATCCACATGCACATGGGCTGAAATGTAGTCACACTTGTGCACAGGTCTGCACGCAGCATTGAGTATAAGCTTTGCAGCTGTCACTAGAATGTATAATTTATAATTGCAGTTAATGCAGGAGGTGTCAAATGGTTTCATAGTGCAGCAGAATTGTAAACAGAGCAGCAGGTACAACACGGATGTCAACCTGAAACAACTTTCCATCTGCGTCTAATTATGTTGGTTTAAGTTAATGTATGGACTCTCTGTTTAACAGTAATGTCACTAGTTTCCCAACACATGGCAGCTGTTCACCCAGCTGGTGTTTTATAAATCGAGGTGAAACATACCTTGTGCTTGAGGATTTGTGATAGTTTTGTCAAAACAACCACTTACATGTAATAAATATTCATATTTTTGTCTTTGTCAAACTTACAACGCTAATCTGGTTTGTTAGGTTTAACTCATTACTCGTGGAGCTGCATTAAACTTTCCTTTCTGACTGTGTTTCTTTCTCAACCTCATCTTTCTGTAGGAGATGATGACAATTTTTCAGTTGTTGCACTGGAACGGGACTCTGAAAGCTCTGAGGGAAAGACAGTGCTCTCGACAGGTATGGGGTCCTGCTTGATTAAGTGTCAGCATCTCCGTATCTATGAAGTGATGATGGCCTATTTTCTCTCCTCCATCTCAGAGTGTGATTAGATATTACTCTCAGCGAGGACTTGATGAGTACGTGCGCAGCAATATGGCTCTGGATTGGCTCGCACGGGAGCAGAGATCACCGGGTCTCATCGGAGCTGAGTTGCAGGTGGCACAGAGGGAGCTAGTGTTGGCCCGGCGTCGAGGCGTAGAGCTGCGCTTCTACAAGGAAAAAACAGAGATCCTTAGCTTGGCTCTCAGCCAAGCATACATTCACCACACACCTGAGGTCTTCAGCCATTCGCTGAGTCGCAAATACAAGCAAGAGCATCTGCCTTTAGACACATTTTACAGCCAGGAAACAGAAGCCCAGCGAGCCCCACCCTTAAGCCATTTGCCACCGGTCCATAAAAACACACAGCAAACAGTCTGTGAAGCCTCTGGACTCTCTGATAGTCCTTCACCATGCTCAGAGCAAACATTTGAGCCTTTAGATGACTTTGAATAAACTGAATCACAAAGTAGAGGATGGGCAAAACATATTGCCATTTAACTCTATACCTCCTAAAGGCCCACTAGGATTAACCATGAAGCTATTTTCTGAAGTGTTTTCTGTCATATTTTACATATGAGAAGTTAGTGAGGGTATTCTTTGCCTATGCAGCTAAAAAATCTTCTACATCTACATTTGCTACACAGAAGGCAACTAGAATGTTTTTTGTCAGCATGACTGAGAGTTTAAAAAGAGGTTTTACAAAATTGGGTCGAGGTGTTATTATGATGCCCGACCATTATTAACATACAATTTAGTTTGTGACTATAAAAGTATGGCTCACTGTAATGTATAAGCAGCTTTAACAACAATAAATGTAGCATTCAAGTGATTTAGATTAAATAGTAGAAAACTTAATTACATTTTTAACGTGGACCTCAATTTTTTGTTTGTTTTTGGGGGGTTTTATGAAGAGCACTCTGTCACTGTCCTACATTTTATTTATGCACATTCTTGTAGCAATGTAGCATGCACAGTCACAAAAGAGCATTTTCATAGCACTCTATGCAGTCCTACCTAAAGCACCTCTAGTAGCAGTAACTTGACTTTATCAGTCTTTTTTTTTACAACTTTGCTTTGGTTCATTTAAGTTTGTTAACATTTGTTATCTACAGCTCTCTTGAAGTCCACCTGCAGTATTTCAATCAGGTTTAGGTCTGGACTTTGACTTGGCCACTAAACACATTGATTCTTTCCTTTTTCAGCTATTCTGTTGTAGATTTGCTGTTGTGCTTGGAATCATTGTCCTGGCACGTGACACAATTTGATCAAAGTTTTAGAGTTCATTGTGGACTCAGGGACTGCAAGGTGCCTAGGTCCTGTGACTGCAAAACAAGCTTAAACTATCACCCTTCCACCACTGTGGTGACAGTTGTGTTTGTGCTGATATGCTGCGTTTGGGATTTGCCAAATGTAGTGCTGCGCATTATGAACAAATAGCTCCACCTTGGACTCATCTCTCAAGAAGATTTGTCCTTTGTTCTGATGCAACTTGTGCTGTCATGTTCTTTTTAGACAGAATAGGCTTTCCCCTGGCAAACTTTCCAAACAACTTATACTCTTTCTGTCTTTCTTTAATTGTAACACTGAACATACTGAGGCCAGTGGAGTCTTTCTGTTTGTCAGTTAATCAAATGCATTTGATTAACAGCACCTGGCTGCTGCTCACCCTTTTAGTTCCTATGGAAGCAGTCAAGCTGTCCTTAGTTTTCCACGGGAAATCATAGAAGGCTTAGACACTATTTTTCACATGACTGTATGTACGTAAACTTGTTCTCCCTGCTTCACTCCTCCCTGCATGTCTAGGCTGCCATGTAATGTGTCAGTTTTTTTAAGAACAGTGAAATATCCTGACCTATTACATGTTATTTGATTGTTTTACATTGATAAAGGACACATAGCAAATGCATAGTTCAGGGGAAACGTTAATTTCGTCATTTTAAAAGTACATTTCAAAATGAATGTTTTTTTCTGCCCTCATAACCTGTGACTTTTTTTGTTTGTTTGTTTGTTTTTGTTTTTTTAATATCCTATGTGTCATTTCAGACTGTGATAATTTGATTATGTCATAATGCATTAGTCAAATTTTAGATTTTAAGTATGTTGATGGAGGAAATTATGCAGTGATTCCACTAACTTGCAGATAAAGACATTCATGACTTTGTAGTGAGTGAAAATAATTATCCAAGGCAGGAGTGTCACACGTACAGCCAGCGGACCACATCCGGCCTGCCAGAGAATTTCATATGTCAATTATCAATGGCCCGTCAGTATGTAGAAGCAGGCAGGGGTGAGACTTTACATTGATAGGCACACCATGCAAAGACAGACTGTCATCATACCATTATGTGAAACAAGGAATAGGGACTGATGTTCAGTCGGCCAGGTACACAAGGCGACCGAAGTTGGATTTAAATGCAAGGGTGTCGGAAAAAGGTGAAAAAACGAGCGAAGACCAGTGGTGTGCGATACTGTAAATTTAGGTATTGAAGATACCAAATAAATAGAGGGCCAGTATTGCCAATACCAATACTGATACCGACACTTTTAACTTATAATGGCAGTTTATGTAGGGAAGAGTGCTGTGTAATGATTTATGAGATAAATCATGATGAATTTGCAAATTCTGATTTTAACTACAACTAAATCACTGTGAACAATTAGTTAACACAACAAAACACACCCCTCAGCTTTTCATATATTTTGAAACTGGGTTTATTGAGACTTGGAATGTAAATGTTTATGATTTATGATTAGGCTGATGATCAATAATGGGTCAATGACCCTCCTAGGGACACTCCCAATAAGGCTTAAAAATCTGGGACTCTTCACCAACTGCTCTTAGGATTAAAGAATCTTCTTGGACGAGAGATGAAATATCTTCAAGAAACTTAAAGAAGTCCAGTCGCTTTTCTTTCCAAGTTCCTTAGATTGCTTCTAAAGCACTTTGGGTCCTCTTCTGTAGTTTAAATGTGTTATAGGACATAAATAAAATAGACATGACTCACTTCATAGTGCATGTTTGAGGTATATTTATTTATTTCCTAAAAAATGATCTATTTAACACAATTAAGTGGGCTACATGCCGAACTTAAAGGATTGAAACAAAGTATCGATTCTATTACAATAATATAGATCTGATACCAATACCAGCATTGGTATCTTTTATCGATATCTGCCTATCTCTAGCAAAAACGTAAAATAATCAGCAACTGGCTGTATTTCAATGATATCGTAGACTGCAAAGCTGAGTGCAGAATTTAAAAAATTCAGAGCTGGATACAATGATACCCGTTTTTATTTTTAGCCATTTTCCATTGTGGAGAGCTAAAGGTTTTACACTTGTCCATACCTTAAACCTCACGTGTTGTCCCTAGTAGTAAATGCATACAAATAAGGCTTTTAGGAAAACACTTAATAAACATTTGCTGCCTTGAAAAGGACTCAATTTACATTGCAGTAGTATGAATATTACATAAAATAAACTATATACAAGGTGTCTTTGAACACGAGCGATTCATAAATGTCTGCATGTAGCTTAGAGCCATTTGACGCAGTGTCTTACAGTTTCTTACAGTTGAAGTCCAAAGAGTCGTGCTGACACGATTCTTTGTTTGTCACAGCAGATTTTTCTTTATCGTGTAGAAAAACAGTTAAATATGTAACTTCTTTACACTGACAGAAAGGGGAGTTTCACTGGTCGGGCCGCGATGTAAAATGAGTTTGACACCCGTCACTAAAGTATGAACATTTGACAGAAAATCGTCTTTGCCTATTAGGTTTGGCCTATCTGCTACTCCGTAGAGAGGTGGAGCAGTCACGTGATCAGAGATTTTGATCGAGGAGTTCCTGGAACAAACAAAACAAACTGCAGCCTGGCAGCGGACGTGGCTGTCACTGCGTCTCACTCTCTGGGACGAGTGGAAATTTGATTTCTTATTATGTGAGCAGCAGCACGAAAAACCGAGAGCCGCTGGTAAATAAACAACTCAATAGAAACACCTCCTAACGGGCGAGTGGCTCGGCGTTAGCGTAGCTTAGCCTTCGTACAGTGTCACCAACTGTACCTCCGTGGGGCTTCATGGTTTCGTTTTCCCCAAAATGTGCTGTCTGAATATTTTGTTCACGCTAGGTGGCCTGCTAATCTTGATATTCTCCGCAGATGAATCCTGTCAACGGAATATAAAAGTGTGTTTTGTTTACAGTCAGTGACTGTGTTTATCTTGTCAGCACAACCAGCCACGGGGTGCTTATCACAGGAAATGCCTCGCTGTTTGTTCCAGCTAATGGTCGCCTGTTGTTTTTGGTATATTTAGATCACCTATAATGACTGCTCAGATGATCAGCGGTTTTCAGGTGATCGGCATCATTTCCACCAGGAAACTCCTCAGTCAGCTGTTTGTGAGAGTGATCTGAGCTGTAAAAACAGCTGATGCGGACACGAACAGACACTAAAAATGGAGGCTGTGAGACCAAAGAAGAACAAAGCAAAGGCCAGCGGAAAATCTCAGGTGATTAAATCAAGTACCTTACAGGTATTCTTTACCTTCTTCTCTTTTCACGAGGGAATGAAGGGCCTTCAAAGTATAAACGTCCCAAACAGAGTGAACACCCCAGTAAAATACATTTCTCTTCACATGTAGGGACAGTTGCAGGTATCCACTTCGATACAGACAGGTGACAAGAATGAAAGTATTGAACCTGTGAACCATCTAGAGAGGGGGATCTGCTGCTTTCCCTTGACAGTTTATAATCACTCATCATGGGCATGATTGTCATTGTAGTTTTGAGCTTTTAATGTTTGTTTTTTGTTTTTTTTGAACTGTTCTTTTTCAGGTTTGATGATTGTACAGAATACATCTTAAATGAGTTTAGAAAAAATCAAGAATTAGGTACACACACTTGAATTTATTTTAGATTTTCACTAATCCACAGAATGTCGAAATTTTACATACAGGCTCTTACATATCCAAATAATATTAGCAAATTACACCTCAACCAGACACTTGTTGTGCCTATCAACAAAGATTCTGGGATAATTCTGGCTGAATATTTGACGACTGTTCTTGGCAGAATTGGTAGAGTTCATTTAAGTTACCTAGTTTCCTGTTCTTTTAAGCTTAGTCCACAAATTTTCAGTAAGGTCAAGTTTGGGGCTTTCGGGAGCCAATTCCAGAAGCTTAATATTAACCTGCTTTATCCATTCTAAAACAAATTTGGATGTGTATTTGGGATCATTGTCCATTTGGAACACCCAGCATTGTCAAGTTTCAGCCATCTAGCTGTCGATTTGAGATGAAGTTGAAGTATTTTGAAGTGGTCCTCCTTCATTATTCCATCCACTTTGTGCAATGTACCAGTGCCACTGGCAGCAAAACAGCCGCAGAGCATGATGCTACCTCCACAAGACTTGACAGTTGATACAGTGTTCTTCAGGTCGAAAGCTTCACCTTGACTTCTCCAAACATACCTCTTCTCATGTTGTCCAAATAAGTCAATTTTGTCTCATCTTACTTTAAAACCAGAGAGTATTTGGCCTCTCCATGTAGGCAGCTACAAATTTCAGTTGATCTTGAAGGTGTCGATTTTAGAACAGGAGCTTCTTTCTTGGTCGGCACCCCCGCAATGACAATGTAAAACTCACTTCACTGTGGACAGTGACACTAGTGTTCTAACACTTTCCCATTCATGGCAGAGCCACGTGAGTTTTGGTGGTTCCTGGGTTGTTGCTGAACATGCAATTTTCTGCCATCTGAGGGTAAAACAAATCACAAAGCAAAGAGGAACTATCAGTTATAGTCAGTAAGTATAGTAACCCCATCCATGGAACCAGAGAGGTTCAGTAAATTGGTTTGATTATTTTGTAGATGATGTGAGTCATATGCTGTGGTTTTTTGCAGTGGCCAGGTCTCATCCCTGTTAAACCTTTTTGGGAGATTTTAAACTGAAAACTGAAATATTAGACACTCTGCCCCAGTCACCAAAACACCACACGAGTAGCTATCCTATGAAAAAACAGCTTGATCCCTGCTTGATCCTCCCAGAGACTTGGAGCATGTACCAATGCAAGTTGAAGCTGTTGTGAAGGCACTTTGTTTTTCCTTTTTCTTTTTTTTTCTTTCAGTCTGTACTTTTATTCTTTAGAGATTGATAATAAATCAAATGACTTGCAAAACACATAAATTTAACATACCACCATGATCCAAACAACAAAAATATCCATGATTACAATTGCAGATTCTTTTTGGCACATTCATAGCAGTGTTTGTTCTGTACTCACATGACTATGGTCACATGTAAAAAGCTGTTACACAAGCTTGGTTGTCCTCCAAAGAGAAATTGATGTGTCATTGTTGATTTTTTTTCTTTTTCTTTTTCCTTTTTCTTTTTTTTTTTTTTTTGCACACAGCTGGTCAGGAAGCAGAAGCAGGCAGAGGAAGACAAAAGAGCCCCAGCTCCCTCAGCTGTACCTGAGGCCTCCACTTCTGACTTCACTGAGATCCCCCTGAGTCTGCCCTATCAGGAAAAGGAGGAGGAGGAGAATAAGCTAGACACTGTTCAGAGTCCTGAAGCCACAGCACAGTCATCAGACCTGCCTTCTGAGAAGCAACAGGCAGAAAACACAGCATCATTGCTGAGTAAGACTCTACAGCCAAGTCTGAACTCCTCAACAGTGACATCACAGGTCACAGCGCAAGAGACCAAAAAGGAGGAAGAGGAGGCTGATGTGCAGGAAGCTCAGGGGGCTGGGCTTAAAATTGTGCCACAAACCACTGAGCTTGAAAAGGATGAACAGTCATGGAATCAGCTGTGTGTTTTAACTCAGTTTGAAGCTTCAAATGTCCCAAGTGCCCCAGCACTGTATCCGTCTCTTCCTACACTAGAAGAAGGTTCAGTGATACAGTTCTGTGGGGAAGCTGTGGAAACATGTGGAAAGGAACCTGCAGTTTTGGCACTTCCTGATCAGGAATCTTCTCCTCCAAGTTTGCGGCCTTTGGAGTCTGTGGCCGACCTTTCTCGGAGCAAACTCTACCCAGAATTACCCAAAACAGCTTTAGAGGTTCAGGTGATCTAATGTACCATGAGATCAAATTTATTGCTAACGCTAAGTTTTATTTACAATAAAATGGTCTGTATTACTGTATTATTTAATCTTTTTGCTCTGTAGCCGTTCTCACTGGAGCAGCTGAGTGTTTGGGAGCCAGGCGGAGGGTTGCGAGCATGGCTGGAGGGGGTTGAGGTTTGTGCAGCACAGTTTTGTGCTCTGGCGCGGCAGGAGAAACACGAACTGACTGAACTGTTGCAAAACTACTGGCGTTGCCGCAGACAGCTGACCCAGTCGCACACACAGCTTCACACACAGTCATCTGAGTGCAAAAGCACACAGAATCGTCTGTGGAGCTTCAGAGATGAACAGCTCACACTTCAGGTGTGTTTTACAAAACATCTATAGTACAGAAAGATCAAATGTCCCACTATTGCATTCGCACTTATAATTTCTATCTTACAGGGTGTGTGTGCAGATCAGACAAAGGTATGTGGGTATCACCGCTTCCAGCAGGCAGAGTTTAGTGAGAGTGTGCAGGCTGAGCTGAGAAGACTGTTTGAAGCTTGCAGTGAGCTGCTCCATCAAAAGGTCGTGCTGCATGCGTACACCGCTCTGCTGTCACGCCTGCAGGTGGAATCATACCTGTACAGTCTTATAAAAGGTGGGAAGAATTATTTTACCTGTACTTCTGATATTACTAGTGTAAAATGTATGTGTTACATCAGTTTTGTCTGTTGCTGTCTCAGATTTTCAGTTAGATGGCCAAACACAGCCGTGTTCTCTCCAACCTCTGAAAGAGGCCATCAGCGTCCTGTTTAGTTTCACACGAAGAGTCCTTGATGACACACAGTTCCAGTCAGACATCCATCACTGGCTTGAGAGATTGG